CTGCAGTCTTTCCCGCCGAGTCTCCATTAGGCCTCAGGATTCTTATTAACACTCTTACCAGGAAGCCACAACCAATTCAGTTGCATTGCCCATTGCCCAGAATGAAACCGTATGGCCACCCTTACCCTGGACAGCTGCTGTACATCTTCTGCCTCTGAAACTGGAAAATATCTTTCTTTCTACCTATATGACTCATAAGACTTACACACAGGGTGGCAGTGTACGTTTTCCAACTTGCAAGCCAGTAGAAACAAAAAGATACCAACCTGTTGCACCTCTGCCTGAAAACATCAAGGTAATGGGTTAAGATGTCTGCATTCAGCCTTGCTACTCCAGTTACAGTTCTTACCAGCAGTTCCTGCCAGCTTGTTAGCAATGCAGAGTCTCAGCCCTGACCTGGACTTATTGAATTAGAACCTTCACTTAAGGATCCATATCTTTGATTCATATGCACATTAAGGTTTGCTTCACCTAGAGGACACAGAACAAAACACATTTTTTCTCTCTCTCCAAACAGCCTATGACTTTCCTGCATGTAAAATTCAGCACTCTGGACATAGTAACATGCCTCCTGGTCTAGATTCTACATTCAGATGGTGGATCCTTTTTATTTGACTGTATGTAGGGTGCCACTAAGTACCCGTGTGCCAATTCAGGATTGCAATGATAATAAGAAATATTCAACTTGAGTACATAATGATAATATTGAGGATTTTACAATATATTTTCATTTAATACCACAAACATTCCGGAGAAGTAATGTAACAGAGAGAAGAAATATTAAAATGTTAAGAAGAATAAAAAAGGAGACATATGTACTACTATTTGTAATCCTTCAAACAATAGAGAGAAGTAAGACATAACCACAAAAAAAAAAAGAATAAAATATTTTAAATGACCAAAGTTCAATTTTAATTAAACAAAGTTATCGTGAACATTACACTATTGTCATGAAAGCCTGGGTTGGAATGTCACTTCAAAAGACAAGCGTCCATCTTCGATGAGTATGGATTCAGTGTGATCACCATAGTTCAGGGTCTGGAATCCTTAATTTTGCTCTTGTATGCACAGTTAAGTTTGGAGCTTCCTCGAAAGACTGGCTTAACTCACTCAATCCTTGGAAATCGCTGTTCAGAGATTGCTACTGGGACCAGAGGACACATTTTCAGTAGCCAGTAAGCTTGTCCACAATCTCATGGGCCAGATTCGTAGTGTTAGAACGCCCAGAAAGATGATATAATAACCAAAGGCCAGTTGGGGCACAGAGAATCACCTCCAAGGGGATAGATCACAAAAAGGGCATTCTGTGGGCTTCCCTCTCCTGGAGCCAAGTATGCCATTCCTTGCACAAGGTCTTTCTCTGGACAGGTGGCAACAACGCCAATGAAGCCTTAGCTTCCTTAGAACCAGTCATTCCTGCCAGCGTCTCCCAACTGGAATTGGGCTTTCCCAAATGTCTCCAGCCACACGGTAATAGGCAGCCCGTGGTAACTACTGCAACTGCAAACCTCACCTGAGTTGTATTGATTTCTAACAGAAGGTTCATTTGCAAAAGACCGTCAACCTGCATTAAATTCCACAAATTAGTGACATCATATGGTTCTTGTCATTCTCTGACTGGCTTGTTTCACTTAGCATAATGTTCTCCAAGTCTACCCGTGCCATCCCAAAGGGTAAACAAAATGGACTAATAAGCAAAATAGAGAAAAACTCATAGAGTTCGGGGATTATGGGAGGGAGGGCGGGGAAAGAGGGGATATTGAGCAAAAAAGAAAAAAGACAGAAAAAACTCATGGACCTGGACAAAGGTGTGGTGATTCTGGGAGGAGAAGTGGAAAAGGGTATATGAGGGATAAATGATAATGGAAAATCAAGGGGGGGGGGGCGAGAAAAAAAGACAACTAACCTTCTTTACAAATTCTGGAGACATCTATGTGGCCCTTTACAGATCACTTAGTTAAAGTCTAGCCTTATATTCCATCCATGAGAGAGAAACATTGATTCAGCTGCCTCTTGCACACCCTCAACTGGGGATGTGCCTGCAACCAAAGCACATGCCCTTAACCGGAATCAAACCTGGGACCCTTCAGTCCGCAGGCCAATGTGTTATCCACTGAGCCAAGCTGGTTTGGGCTATCATTACCTTTCTTATGAAGAGTTCTCCAGAGGACTTATACACTCCATGATCACATTTCTTAAAGCCCTGGTGCTAGCTAAATAAGGGCTATGTCATGTGTATTTGTATCTCTTATTTTGAAAGTTTAAAACATAAAAGCAATGATAGTGTGAAGTGCTGCGGAAGAGAAACAGGTGTCACTGTATGGCTAGATGGTTACAAAGGAGGGGTGTTGCAGGGGTAAGAAATCCTTTTTTCTTGAATACTTCCTCTACCCTGTTGTAAAGAATATGGGGACTTTGTTGATGAAAGCCATCCCCCCCATGGTGGATCCGGGCTGGGTTTCCGGTTTGGGCCACGTTAACGTGTTCATGTTCTTCATGTGTAAATGTTTCAAAGCAAAGTAAAAGCCAATCTCCTGGAGAACTTGAGTCAACATCTTTCAAAGCCTTGCTCAATATTGATAGCTTGTTGTCTAGTGTTCTAGGAGCATCTGTTCAGTCATAAATAAAGTCCAACGCTAGATGTGGTAGATTAGACGTGATAAAGTGTGCGTGCAAAGTAGGGAACATCGGATTTCTGATTCATTTGTGCTTATTATAACTCTTATTTATCCGCTGCCATAGCTCAATTAAATTACCTGAGCGCTAAAGACTTTAAACCCAAAAAAAGTCTCACTTCAGCAACTATCATAATTGCCTTAAGAAACAATGTCAAATACCATTATACAGTCAGCTCTTAATTATGCATGTTAGGGGAGCCAGGGGCACAGGGAGAGTTGGCATTCAGGAGTAACCCTCAAACCTAAGAGCTAGTAAGTCTCCCCCACGTCTAAACCTTTACCTGAGTGTCGCACTGAATGTAGAAAAACTGACTGGTTAAATGTTTAGCTTTGTTATCCCCTGACTACCCTTTGGTTGAAAGCCAAAACAGCAGTCAGTCAAGCAAAGAGAGATGAAAGAAAAGCAAAGGGCCTCGGTAATTCCCAAAGGAGAGAACAAAATTATGAAAACTAGGAGTTGCTTATATTTGCAAGTGTGATGGATCAAGAGTCGTCCTGATGGTTTTGTGCAAAATGTTACATGCTGGCAGTTGTGGCTCAGTGATCCATCCCCCTGCCGGTGAAGGGAACACAGATTCCACTGCTGCAAATTGTGCTATCTTCGAGTCCCACCATTTATTTCACAAAAATGTCGCCATCAGTTACCTCGTGTTGGTCTCATGTTAACAATTAACTATGTGTTACAGAAATCATTTCAATGCATACAAAAAATGTTAAGATGCCTGGTTACCATTCACTAGCAAGAATACTAGGTAACTTTATACTTGATGTAGATTGCTCTGGGGGAAAAAAATGTTGACTTGTTTTATTATTATTATTATTATTTAAAAAGGACTATTACTTTAAAAAAAAGCTTGGCAGAGCTATGAAAACAGAACATAAAACTTCATTTAAGACACTAAAGCACCCACATATTCCATTCAAATTGATTTCAAACTCTTCAAACCCCATGCCTGCAAAGATCATGTTTGCCTCGAGTAGAATGCTACATACTTTCTTTGTTCTTTTCAGCTAAGTTCCTCAGAGTTCCCTGCAGCAGGGATGGGTACTGAGCCTGTGTCAGACAGGTCAATCAGTTTGCCAAAGCTCACCACCATCAAGCTTCAGAGAACCATTGCTGGAATCTTCAATGAGAGCTGGAGTGACTGTAGTGGGACAAATACACATACATACAGACATACATACATAACAGGTAGATTGTGGAGTTTCCTTGATATCTGAGAATAATAAATAGATAAACCATCTCTGTTTTACCTGCCCAAAGAAAGGAATAGATAACGTTTTTCTCATGAAACCTCCCATCAGTACAGTTCATCTGTATGCCTAGAGGAGAGCTGACAAGTTTGTTGTAGTATTTTAATCCCCATCTTAGGATATGTCTTGCTGATTTTAGGGAGAGGGAGAGAGGGAGGGAAACACTGATCTGTTGCCACCCATAAACCACCAGGGATCAAAGGGCGCTCAAGAGCTCAAAAGTTTACACAAGAACTATTGCAATAGTTAACTTAATTATCCACATCTGGCTAGTCAACTTTTTGCTATTTCCATCGATCATTGCTCATCACTTTCTGGCTTTCTCCCAACACCTCTGAGCCCTGTCAGCTCACCGGGATATTATTTAGTTGCTAAAGAAGAAGAAAAAAAACATATTTATTATTAAAAAGCCAACACTGAAACTATCCAGGAAGCGGATGCAATCAAAATAAATCTTTTTAAGCATTGGATCCGGGCGGGATTCTCTGAGCTTCAGCTCCTTAGAATCCCAAAGACAGAGGATCCCGGGTCCCCCAACTCCCCTGACCAGCTCCTTCTGAAACTCTGAAAGCTTGGGGGACACGCTGAGCCCAGAGGAGGGTGGGTCAGTTTGCGGTTCCACCTTCACACACAACTTTCATCCGGTGTTTACTCTGGCAGCCAGACAAGGGGGTTTGGGTGGCAGAAAGGCCAGCTTGCCATCCAACTGGGTAGGATGGGGCCCCCCCTCCCAGCCTCCAGGGCGCCCCCAGTGGAGGGCTCGGACCCTAAACCCTAACACCGGTTGCCATCCAACTGGGTAGAATGGGCCCCCCCCAGCCTCCAGGGCGCCCCCAGTGGAGGGCTCGGACCCTAAACCCTAACACGGGTTGCCATCCAACTGGGTAGGATGGGAACCCCCCAGCCTCCAGGGCGCCCCCAGTGGAGGGCTCGGACCCTAAACCCTAACACCGGTTGCCATCCAACTGGGTAGGATGGGGGCCCCCCCAGCCTCCAGGGCGCCCCCAGTGGACGGTTCGGACCCTAAACCCTAACCCCGTCACCAGGCGCCCCCGGAAGGAAGGATACGCTCCAGGTAGTAGGTGCCCTCGGCCTCCTCCGTGGCGTCCCCGCCGGCCGTCAGGCCCAGCGCCTCCTCCAGCGCCCGCAGGGGCGACACGGACGCCCCCTGCTGAGCGGCCATGGCGCCCGCCGTCCGCCCGTCCGCCCGTCCGCCCGTCCGGGGAGCAACGCCCCGGTGACCCCAACCTCCCCTCCGCCCTCAGCCCCGCGAGAGCCCGGCCCGGCCCGCCCCCGCCGCTCCCCGCGCCTCTGAGCGTCCCGTTACCCCGGCAACCGCGTTGCCTAGCTACCCTGGGCGTCCAGGGGCCGGCGGCGGGCTGGGGTTACACGCGTTTTCTTACCGGGCAGCTGGGTTTTCTCTAGGTTTGACCCGGACGTCTCCTCCTTTATTTCTGCCCTGCATTGCCTTTCTCTTGGATCTTGCATATCCATCGTCAGCCCCCGGGTTTTTGATGTAAAGGGTCCCGTTATCCCCAGGGAAGGCTCCTGGGAAAGAGGGAGATGCTCAGGGGGGTGGAGTAGGGTGAATGGGGGTGGGGGTGGGGAGTGGGGGTGGGGGTAAGAAATCATGATTGAGCCTGACCCTGGGGAAACTACCGGCCTCAGACGCTTAGCAACAAAAAAAATGGGGTGCCTGGCTTAGTCTTGTGCTCATTTAAAACTCTCATCTGGACAGCTGTCTGGACTTGGATTTAGCACACTGGGACTTGGACTAGTACTATTTGGAGCGTGGTTTCTTGTCAAGGTAAAGCCACTTTCATAAGAAATTATAAGGTACACATGGGCCTAACATCAAATATAATAAGTGGTATTATATTTGCCCAGTCAGGTGCAGTCCTTTGCTATGAGGGCATCTCCTTCAGATTTATACTCTGTGTGTGTGTGTGTGTGTGTGTGTGTGTGTGTGTGTGTGTGTTTATCAGAAGCAATCATCTGCTGGGCCCTTTGCTTTGAAGATTCTTTTTTATTCTACATTTCTTGGTAAAAAAAATAAAATAAAATAAAAAATGATAACTCATCGAAAGCATTCTTGTAAGGTGTAAAACAACAAAAAGAATTAACCCGCACCAGGCACACATTTAGACACTAAAATATGTTTCTATTGAAGTTAATTGTTTTATTTTAAATAATCAAGGGTCACAGACATAGTATTTGGAGAATGTATTCCTGCTATTTATTTTTTTAATAACCTACTCTTTGTCCTTCATGCTTCATATTAAACAAATCCGGAGTGCTCATTGAATGCAAGGAACAATTAGAAGAGGCTGCAAATTCAGGAGAACAGCTCTGGAATTGCGGGATCCACTGCTTTCCTAAAAGCCTGCTCATTGTTCAAAGGGGAGGCACTACCCCATCCTACAAGGCGGTTTTCTGTAAACACAAGAATGGCCTGTGTAAGGAGAGGCACTTCAGCAAAGACATGTAGGAGCATGAGGAAACCATGGAGAGGAATTTCTCTGAACAATTAGTGTTTAATTCGAATTTTTTCTTTTGTTTGTTACAAGAGATTATTTCAAAAATAATCTTTTTCCATCGAATTTTCTTTTTTGTTAATTGCTGGTGTAATTTAAAAAGTGGTATGAAAGCCTTACTAAGAATAAAACAGAAACTCTACAGCATACTGGAGGTTTGAGATGTTTTATTGTTGTTGTTGTTGTATTTAATATATGTTTATTGATTTCAGAGAGGAAGAGAGAGAAAAAGAGGGAGAGAAACATCAATGATGAGAGAGACTCATTGATTGGCAACCTCCTGCAAACCTTCCACTAGGTGGCTGAGCTGGAAACCTGGGCATGTGCCCTTGATCAGTATCGAACCCTTCAGTTCGAAGGCCAGTTCCTCTATCCACTGAGCCAAACCAGCTAAAGCTGGAAGTTTGAATTTTAGTGTTTTTTGATAGTCCTTTCAACCTATAGTTTTTTCTTTTAAAAAACATTTTACCAATTTCCTTGAAGTGGAAAAAAAAAGAAAGTGCATTAGCATTCTGATGAATGAACAGCAATCTATCTAGTTTACCTCTGAATATATTCCTGAAAGAGGCAAATAAAGAAAACCAATGGAGACAGGCAAAGTGAAGCAACAATCACAAAGGACAAAGATTGATTTCCTTCACACCTAAAAGTTCCATTTTTATAAAAGTGAAATTAATTTTAAGAGCAAAACCAGAAAGTAATCTTACAATGAATTTATTCTTTACACTTGTAGTTTCAAAGCAGAGAATAGTCATATGCAAAAATATAGTGAAGTGCTATTCAATTTTCAGAAGTTAGTTGTTCATTTGCTCATGCATTTTTTAAACTAACTACCTTATTTTATTTCAAAACCTCACAGTAAGTGTAGCCAGTTTTAAAACTTAAGAATTCATATAAGTAGTGGTAAGTGACTGTAGTGAAAATTACCATTTCCAAAATTGCAGCTAAATTTTTCTTTCTTCCTTTTTTTAGTATCAACCACTTGAAATTCCATATTTCTCATGTTTTTAGCATGTCCACAATTACCTACACTACTAGAAATAAAGAAGGAAGAAGAAAACAAACAAAAAGGGGAAAAAGAGAAGAGAAGGGAAGGGGAGGAGAGAAGAAACGAGGGAAGGGAAGGCCTAAGCATATCAATTTTGTCACAAATATCTGTCTACACTTATCATCTTGTTATTGACATCTTTTATACTATAGTTTTACATTTTAAAAATTCTTTCATCCATTTCTATGGTGCTAAGTTAAGCTGTAAAAAAATTGAATGCCCATTCTTTCTTTCTTTTTTTCTTTTTTCTTTTTTCAATCCTCAGCCAAAGACATTTTTCCATTGATTTTTAGAGAGTGGAAGATAGAGGGAAAGACAGAGGAGAGAAATATCTACGTGAGAGAAACACATGGATTGGTTGCCTCCTGCATGTGCCCTGATGGAAGACCGAGCCTGCAACCAAAGTACATGCCCTTGACTCAACTCAAACCAACACTATTCAGTCCAGAAAACAAGGCTCTATCCACTGAGCCAAACTGGCTAGGTGGAATACTCATTCTTTTTTCTTTTTTTTAATATATTTTATTGATTTTCCACAGAGAGGAAGGAATAGGGATAGAGAGCTAGAAATGTCTATGAGAGAGAAACATCAACCAACTGCCTCCTGCACACCCCCTACTGGGGATGTGCCTGCAACCAATGTATCTACATGCCCTTGACTAGAATGGAACCTGGGACCTTTCAGTCCTCAGAGCAACGCTCTTTCCACTAAGCCAAACCGGTTTTGGCTAGGAATGCTCATTCTTTAAAAGCTTCTGATAAGTTGCATAAACATCCTGGTTATTTTACATATTAAAGATATCGCAGTTAAATTGATAAAAATATCGAAAGTGGGCAACACCTGACTTGAAAGTTATCTTCTAATGTGACCTTCCTCCAAAGAGACCAGACTACTTGCAGTTGTTATAAAATCATTACAACTGAAGCACAAAGTGTAATCATTCTGTATCGCACTCATAAGAACTGAAAGTTTTTTATTTAGAAGAGAGAAATCTCTCTCAGTTGAATTCCCTTCCACAGCAAAAACAGATTAAATCAGAAGTGTAACATTTTCCTATTTAGAGGTGGCCTTTTGCTCAGTGAATCACATGTAAGATCCTTCTGATATATTTGAAATAATGAGTTTTGAAAGGAGAAGAAAAGGGTAGAAATAAAAAAAAAATGGTAGCAGAAATAAAAGACAAAGTTTAATCCCTGCCTCTGTGAAAATACTGTTATAAACTAACAAAAAATATATATTATAAATACAATTTTAAATCAATAAAATTTGAGATGAAACTTAGAGATAGCAAACCAGGAAACATTAGATAACATTTCAAAAAGCCAGGTATTGCAAAATCCCAGCTTATCCAGAACTCTGCATAAGTTGTCACTTAGGATGGTCAGATTTTACAGGCATATAAGATTTATTCTTAAATGTTAAAAAGCAAAATTCTAGTAAGTTTATGTTTCTAAAAGGTATTGTGCATTTCTCTGAATCCCTAAGTAATTTTGCTGAAACTCTAAGTTGGTTTCCAGGTGATGGAGTACCATTATTATGAACATCTGCTATTTCAGGATCCGTAAAGGTATGTAAAACTGTTTGACCCATTTTAAATATCTCTAGATTTTGTACTTGAAAATTGTTTTGAATAATTATGTGGCTTCCTCCTTTGTAAGTAAACTCCTCTCTCCTACCTCTACATGCTATTTATATGCCTACACATAGCATTGCTCTAGAGTATTTATTTGTTCATATGTAGTGTAGCAATGTTCAACCTTTTTTTAATCTCATGGCACATATAAGCTAATTACCAGAATTCTGTCCCACACCAAAAATATATATTGTATATTTTGCCAATCTGACAAGAAAATAGGTATAATTTTGATTCATTCACACTGGGTAGCTATTTGTTGTGTTGACTGTTGTCATATTTTTATTTGACAATTTCAAGGAAAATAGGTAACATGATGGGAAGGGCAGCCCTCTGGGGTCTCTCTTATAAGGCATTACTCCCATTCATGAGCATGCTACTCTCATGATTTAAGCACTTTCCGAAGGACCGCCAACTAATATCATTATCTTTGGAGGTTAGGATTTCAACATACAAACTTTCCAGGACAAAAACATTCAGATCCTAGCAGAGAGGAAGAATTAGAAAGTAGTTATAATAACTATTACATAAAATCTGTTTGGACAATGTGCCTTCCCAACATAAAGAATTTCCTTTAAAATCTGAATAGAATATGGAAATAACAATCATGAGGACTACCAATACCACTAGTAATGCAGAATTTGGTGTAATTTTACATATGAGGGAACTGTGCGCAGAGAGGTTTGGAACATTCCTAAGAACCAAGCCACCAAGGGATGGTACAGGGGGCAGAGCCCTAACAAGGGGCTCCAAACAACCTCATTTGTCCTTCCATCTAGGAAGCAACCCTACCACCCTCATGACTGGACCCTCAATTGTCATCTGTCCTAGAGGACATCCTTATCTAGTAAAAACTTTCCATCATTCCGTGTACTATCCAGTACCAGACGTGGTAATAAGCATCTCTATGGATCAGACTTAACACACTTTTACAGACAATCTCCACTTAGAGGGACTGGGGAAGCTGGGGTATAGA